ACTCTTCACTGAACTGAAAAGGTGTCTAGCTATAGTATAACTATAAGTAGCTATAAGTATAACTTTCATCTCCTTAACAAAAAATAATTAATCATTAGTAGGTTGTATGTGTTAAAAGAAAATAATTTTATGATCGGATCAAAATTTTACTAACTTACTTTTTTACACTACTAATATTGCATACTTGAAATTTATTGAATGAATAATTAGTATCGTATAAATCTAAATAATGTCTACATTTCTTTATTTCAAAACTATAACAGTAAGTCATTGGTTGTGATTGTATTGTTACAAGTACCAACCAGTTGTAATGCCTTCTAATGTGTAAAATTTTTCATTTCCATAAATTGTATCTTATAATTGCTTTCATTGAATTTTGTTTAAACAAATGAAAATGTTATTCATTTTCACTACAAAACATTGAAAATTCTTATTTAGATATTTAGAAAAAAAAGACTGATTTATCTAAGAAATATGTTCCTCGTCTTTGGCTCCAATACGAATCAATCTCCACTCTCTTCTTCTGCATATTTGTTGGGTGATGCGTTGTTCCGCCGTTGATTCGTTGCCAGCCACACTTTCTTGTTGCTTATTCTTATTATTCTGACCATCCGACCTTTAGTATCAGTATGGAGTGAGCGTAGGCGGTCGCTGTTGATGTCATGTATGACTGTAGTTTGCTGAAAATGCTTTTCGTAACGCGTTAACTCTCTCAACCATCATATAGAGTGTGCTGAGTGCAGTGAAATGCAGTGGAGTAGATCTCCACACTGATTATTTCAGGTTAATGAAAGAAAGTCTGTCTTGGTGTGTTTCCGACGCTGGCTTTGACATCCTCATCTGTGCCGCCGCCGCCTGTAGTTGAGACGATGCTGCCTAGGTAAGCAGGTGGATAGGTGAAAGAGACTATTTCGTTTAGGTTTCTCCTGCTGCTGGTGATTTGTGCTTCTCGTTGTTGTTGGTGGTGGTGATGGTGGTTGGTAACTTCATCACCTCTCTCTTCTCTACGTTCACTTGTAGGAAGTCCCGTCTTCCTTCGCTGCCTCACCTCTTCCACCAACTTGTTAGTTTACACTTGTAGATCTTTGAGCTTGTGTAACATGAGACATTAATCATCATCGTTGGCGGAATCCAAATCTCCTAGAATCTTTTCATCGGTCAAACAACGTATGCCCATCTTCTCATAGCTATTCACAGTTGTATGTTGCATAGCTCAGTCAAGTCGACCACAATGAGAAAGATGATCGGTGATGATAGTAGGCGTCGGCCTTGTCTTAGTCCTTCATGTTTTCACTTGAAGGCGTCACTGAGCTTTCCATTGTGAATCATTTTTCATGTGGCGTCATCATATAGTTGTTGAATGAAGTTGATAACTGTTTGTGGTACTAAAGCTGTAGTGTTGAAGGCGAAGCTGTCAAATTACTTCTCGGTGGATGCCTCGATCGAACGCCTTTTCAATAGGGATGAAGTTAGGGTAGAGAATTCACGTGAAACTGGTTATTTTTTTAAGTGAATTGCACAGTAAATCGTACGGTAAGCACAGTGTTTCCTTTCAACTGGTTAGTAAGAAACAACAAACAAGTTCTGAACAAATGAGTTTTGATGGAACAACAGGGGGAAAAGGGGTACAATGTAATAGTAAACGTTACATAGTTTTGAAAGCCACGGTAATCCAAGCGGCTGAACAAATTTATTTTGAATGTAAAAATTAGGTTTATGGAGGTGGATTGCAATCGCCCCTACCATGTGAAGTAAGCGAATGCGTAGTCCGTATGGTGAGTTAATTGGCATACAACGAGTAACTTTGAATGCTTCTCTAGGAGCCACTTGATATCTCGTGTTAACTAAGTGTACAAGTATGAAGCTTTTCATTGTTCCAATTTGCCCCTTATTCAGTCATGATTGCTGGTGCTTAGAAATTCGAAGATGTAAGTATTTCATCATACGCCTAATGTAACTAGCTTCACAGGAGCAGTTGAACTAAAAAAATGCATACGGAGGTGGCAGAATCATATAGTCTGTCTTCATTTCTTGAACCTAGAACCAAGTGGTTGTAGATGGGACATAGTTTACCGGCTAGAAGCGCTCTTTGCAGGATTCCTTTCATGGGTCCGGGGATGATCTCAAAGTGACATTGTCACCCTTGAATTCTAGTTTCAAGAAGATTCTCTTCTTATCAAGTTTCAGCATTCTTGACTTAACTAATCGTAACGTTGATGTGCTATGTTGAAAACTTTGCTTGATATCCATTCGTATTAAGCAAGTCACGGATGATGATGAACACTTTCTCGATAATATAATCATAGCAAATAGATGTGTCACAGTATGTTAGGCATTTCAACAAATTTCACTTACATAGATATCCTGGATACCAGCAGAACATCAAGAAATGGTATCCCGTCATTTCACTCCTCTTCCATTGTGTATTTGATTGTTGGACAAATACTATCAAACTTATTGAAAACACCATTCTCATCAATCTCATTTTTGAGAACTATAAAGGTGTCAGTCATGTAACGATTATATAATTCCAACCGGCTAGTTGTTCTCCAGTTTTGCCAAAAAGTATCTACTGAGTGGTTGAAGGGGTAACACCATCGCCACACTAGTTATTATTGGCGATTGAAATTATCCTTCCAACTTGACAGCTTCTCTAAGGGTAACTTAGTTTAATGATGATAGTAATAATAATACTTACTGTATGTCATTCTACTCTACTATAAACAATGAAAGGTGTTATATTACAGGTACACAAAAATAATGACCTGTATTCTATGCAAAGTTTCGAAGTGTTAGTCATATTTTACCAATGGTGTTAAACTTTCTGAAATCAGAAGCTTATTTGAAGGTTACTCTTCGTTAGGAAGGGGAGAAATTTCATGCAAAAACATTTAGAGAACGAGAAGATACAAGTGTTATGCATTTCTGAAATGGTATCTTCAGGTTAGGGATTAGATTATATTCAATTCATACTTTTACTGTTTGTCCAACAGCCTACTTTACTTAGTTTAATGGAATCTAAAATTTGGTAATTTTCCCTTATTTATTCTTAAGTCGATTCATCGTAATTTTATAGCTTAGTCCTTGAATTTCAAAAGTAAGCCTTTTATAAGGAGTAAAATATCACCTGATTCATTAATTCTTACTATCTCTTTGATTTTATTGTCATGTTGATGGAAAGTATCATCTAATAAGATGATAATTTGAAGCCTGTTATCGTCAATAAAAGAAAACATTATGAAACAGTAGACAATTTTTCAGTTCAAAAGAAAACAGATTTTATTTCGATATGGTATTACCTGACCACCACCTGCACTACGTCCAGAAATACCACCAGCAACCCACCCGCTGAACTACAAGTGAACATAAATCCTCCAACAAAAATGGAAGTCCTGAACGCCATAAAAATGCTGAAATGTGGGAAAGCAGCAGGACCAGATGGAATCCCGCTAGAAGCACTGAAAACAGACGCGGAGACAACAGCAGACATGCTCACACCACACCACTATTGCAGAAGGTGTGGAAGGAAGAGAAGGTACCTGGCGACTGGAAGAAGGGTTACCTTGTCAAACTCTCGAAGAAGGGAGACCTCAGTGTTTGCAAGAACTGGCACGGAATCACTCTCCTGTCCACACACAGCAAGTAAAATATTAAGCCGCATCATCCTGGAGAGGCTGAAGGATGCACTGGATTCAAAACTACGACCGGAACAGGCTGGCTGGCTGGCTTGAGGAAGTACAAATCATGTGCAGACCAAATTGCAACGCCACTTCATGCATCATCATAGAACAGAGCATAGAATAGCAATCAGCTCTCTACCTCAACTTCATTGACTTTGAAAAGACCTTTGACAGCGTCGACCGAGAGACAATTTAGAAACTGCTTCATTGCTACTGAATACCGCAAACCTTTATCCGCCTCATTCAACAACTACATGAAAAGCCCCAATGGAAAGCTCAGTAATGCTTTTGAAGTAAAGACAGGAGTGGAACAAGGTTGCCTACTATCACCCTTGATATTCCTGATTGTGGTGGACTGGATCATGCAATAAACAGTGGAAAGCGACAAGAGGGGGGTACGCTGGACCACGTAAAATAACCTAGAAGACTTGGATTTCACCAATGATGACTTGTGTCTGATGTCTTGTCGCACAAACTTGAAGATCTACAGGTGAAAACTAACAAGCTGACAGAAGAGGAGAGGCAGGGCAGCGAAGACAGGACTTCCTTCAAGTGAATATAGAGAAGACAGAGGTGATGAAGATACCGCACCAACAACTCCAACAACAAACTCCAGTCACCAACAACGGGAGAAACCTAATGGAAGTAATCTCCTTCACCTATCTAGGAAGCATCGTTTCAACTACAGGCGACACAGGCACACACGAGGATGTCAAAGTCAGACAGGATCGGAAATACAGCAAGACAGACTTTCATTAGCCTGAAACCAGTGTGGAGATCTTCTGCACTGCACTGCACTGCACTCAGCATAAAGTGTGAACAATATCCGGATTTCCAACACCAACCTCAGTCAAGTCAGTGCTGCTGTGTGATGGTTGAGAGACTTGTCGCCTTACGAAAGGGATTTCCAACAGACTACAGACATTCATCAACAACTGCCGCCTACGCTGGCTCGTTACTGATGCTCAGATGACTAGAATAATGAGAATAAGCAACAATGAACTCTGTCGGGCAACGAACCAACCAATAACCTATTACCCAACAAATATGCAGGAGGAAGTGGAGATGGATTGTGCATACAGTGAGAAGGCCGACTGGGACATCACGCGTCAGGCCAGCCAGTCCCTCGAGTGGAATCCCCATGGGAAGCGACGAGTTGGGCGTTGTTGTGAGGGTGACATGGTGTAGATCGTGCGAGGAAGAAATGAGAGCGACTATTTATCAATAACATGATCGATTAAATTGTATAACCTTGTTATTTTATGTGAAATATTATTCAATAACCTTTTTCAATGTATTCTCTTCATCTTTTTTTCCTAGTTCTTTAAGCGTTTGAGTGTTGTCAGTGAAGATTTTGTCTACAAACAACATCAGTCATTAGCGAGTAAGAAACACATTATAGCTGATTTTTAGTTGTTGCTAAGATGATCTTTTATTTCCTTAATGTTGACTAACTTTTGTTAAAAATATGATTGTGAACTGTTATTACTTGTTACAGCTATATTTCAAAAGTTTAGAGGGTCCCCTTTCAAAAATATCTGATTATTTTTTATGAATCCGATTCATAAATCCCTTTTTCGATACAGTAATTAGTATCATTCACCTTAACAAGATAGGTGTGGTTAATGAACAGATAGATAGACACATAGACTGACAAATCAACGTAGAACCCTTTATACAAGTTATGAAAGTCCGCAGCAATGGACAAAGAAAGATTGGCCAGAACAGAATACTGTTGAAGTGCGAAAAAGTTATGAAAGAAGATACGAACAAAAGTTAGGTGAACTGTTCAAAACATCAGTTTTGTCGAAGGATGTGAATAAATGTGTCATGCAACCAAGGGACTTCAACAAGTGATTTCTTTCCTGTCTAAGCCATTAGTTTAACAGTTTCAATGTGACTTAGACTAATTGGCATAGTCTTTGTGGATTCATTTCACATCTAAATTAGGATAACACTAACTTATGATAAATACTACGAACCCGTCAATGGTCACAAACCTGTGCCCTTTAAGGCTTTTCTACTTTCAGCGGCCCTGTCTTAGAGTCCTGGAGTATGACAGAATAGACTGCACCTCCTTACATATTTTTTTTGAATGGGACAGGATGTCTCATCCGCTCCAAAGATAATGGAACATGAAAAATTGTTGGACACACCATTTGTATCTCTGGTAGCATATCTCATGTAACCAGCCTCTCAAGTATATGATTTAACCAATGCCCTCAACCACTTTATTAACCATCTTTAACCTAAAAATCGTTGAAGAACAATCCTTAAACATGATGGTTAATGCAAACTTTATGAAACTGTTGACGATCACTGAGTTCTGTATAGCATTTTTATTATCGCTACTAAGTATGAAGATTCAAGTGATATTCTCCAAGTAGTATCTTGTATTTATCTTCCCCTTAACATAAGTTTTATACTAGGGACTTATGAAGGTACTTACATTTCTTTATCCTTCCTTAATATGCGGTTATCACTGACTTTTTCCCTAGTCACTTTTACAGTCTTATAGTGGCTAACAGTGGAACCCATGACTCGCTTTTTGTCCTCTTTAGGACTCATCAGCTTGATGTCCCTGCCTCTCAGTGAGCGACATTGTTCCCACTAAAACTGAAACTCTTCAAACACCAGAGCGATAACCACTAGGCCACCAAGTTACTACAGCCACTTCTTGTGTGACGGGTATTAGATGTGCTCTTGGTTGGGGTCTTAGTGCGAACAACAACGCTCACTAAGAAGCATGTACATCCAGCTGACGAGTCCCAAATAGAACGAGGTGCGCCCCGAATTCTACTACTGGCTACTATCCACCATTACCATAAAAATGAAACTGCAGCCAATTTTCAGGCATCTGCACCCAAGCTCATACGCTAATAAAGACCGATCGATTCAACCCAATCAACAACGGGAAATTATAAGTTATGATAAAAGTTTTACAGCCTGTTTAGCTACTCTTCTATTATACTTAGGAAACATTTTAATCGGTAGCTTTCTAGGTTCTGTGCTTACGCTATGTTTGAAACGTTTTCCATACTACTATTGTATGATCCAATGCATATTTCAAAGTCGAAGAAATATATATTACCCATCACAGGCAGATATATTGTTATCGCTACAGAATATGTTAATTTAATATGAATTAGCATAGAGAACTACAAGTCTGATTTGATGCCTATAGCCATGTAGATATCACAGGTAAAAGTTAATTTATATTTGTGATAATTTAAAGCTTGAAACTACTGGTTAGCTTTGAATGACCATTTAGCATACTCATTCAATAAAAAAATATAAAGCTGTGAGCAGACAGTTGTTTTTAGGCGATATGCATAAGATCTATATTCTGTTAATACTATAAGATATGTTTATCATCGGATGTATGAAGAATACATGTATGATGGTAGTACCTTGCGTCATGTTGTCGGCATAATCGAAAAAGAACTTCATTTCCTGAAGGTATGATGCCTATGCTAACGAATAAAATTCATTGATGGCACTAACACTGTCGAATAACATTTTATATATATATATATATATATATATATATATATATATATATATATTCCCAGTGATTAGTTACCAGGGCACAACCAGTGTCATATTGTCTAGTTATTGGTGCTAACTGAATTCTGTCCGTCAAGTTTTCAACAGTGTCATCATACTCCGACTTTAGTCGATGTTAGATTGGTGTTAGTAATAACATGAATGCCCTGAACCTACGTTTTGTATTTATTAGCTATTGCGAACTTAAGTATATCACTTGCCTAGACAGATGCATTATCGGTCCATAAATCCGAATCCTTACTATTCAGTACATTTAATGAATAAATCTGTTAGTTGGATGAAAGGAATCTGCAGAAAGCTCTAAAGACGTAACCTCAACGGAACTGATGTCTCACCTGAAACTCGAACTCGTTTCACTCAGTGTTCTAGTCAGAGACAACACCACTGACCTATATGGGTCACGGCTGACCTCCTGTAGGACTCGATAAGTCTGTTCGCTTATTCCCTATGACTTTCATTTATCTTGAATCTATGGAATATAGAAACGTCTTAAAATGTATGATATTAAACGTTTTCTAATATTTTCATCATTTGATTACATATAAACAAGAATTACCTGAGATATTCAGCTAAGATTTCATCACCAGTGTTATCAGCATGGAATGTACTGAATCTCTCGATAAAAACGTTCTAATTCTTTACTCTCAACTTGGATGTATTTTAGCAATATAAATTCCTAGTTTTTTTTAAGAAATATTTTCAAAATTTTATCAATTAATGCCTATTTCTTCTTTTGTTTCCTTCCTTTTCTTAATAATAATAATGAAGTGAAAATATTCAGTAACTATGTTACTAGACGATCATCGAATGTCACCTATTTGGGTCCATGTGTGTATAAAATGCGTCCAACTCCAGGTGAAGAAGAAAAACAACTACGACGTCGAATTGACTATGAATGGCAGAAATCATTCTCTCCAATCGCTGCATTAGGCGCTCATAATAGTTATTGGAGTAGTCAAGAAGTAGCCTTTTTTATGCTTTATCAAATCTTTGGACCTCCTCAATCTATTCGTTAATAATAAGTATACCAGTGTATTTGATAGTGTTTGCTCATGTGTATGTGTGTGTGTGGGTGTGGATGGGCTTAGTAACTCAATATCATTCTTTGAAATGCTTATTTCTTCATTTTGTACTACATTTTAATATACAGAGATATTTTTTTATCCTATTATAACACATTGCATTTCTTTATCTGTTAAAGTAATTTAAGCTTGTTTTATATGAAAAATATTTCTGACAATTTAAAGTTTTTATTTGTTGTATGAAAAATGTTTTTTGTTTCGTTACAAATTTGTTGTTTTATCACTTTTTTTGGTATGTGTATGTGTGTGTGTGTTCTCATGACAAGAGATCGCTGAAAGTTTCAAAGATCTTTAACTTTCTAAAGTTTCTAAGTTGTAGATGAATTCGGTATATTTTTCATCTTCATTGTGTAAGAAGTAGGGAGAATATTATCTATGAAGTGGAGTGTAAGTATTTAGTTGATTTGTACTTTGCTAGCCTTTAGATAGCACTATATTATTCTATGACTGGGTATTTTATTTTATGGGACTGACTATACTTGGCAAAGTCGCTATCATTAGTGCTAGGTGAACCCATTTACATTAGACAATAAACACTTTAAAGATGATAATAAAAAATAATTAGTTTCATAGGATTCCCTTTAATTGACATTGAATAAGTGACAAAACCATTGTAGAGTCTCTCATAAGAATGCATCATCTGAAGTTTTCACAATTCACAATAGTACCCAAAGAATAGGTGTATAGCAAAGGAGTGGTATCAAAACAGATAAAGTTGTGAGACAAAATAAACAATCTGAAGACAAAGGTGACCAGTTTTCAGTCATGTCATCAAAGAGTCTTGAACCGCCAAGTCCTTTCATCTAGAGGACCTTAATCAGGTAGTCTACATCTCACACAGCTTAAGCCAACAGTCAGCGACTTCATTGACTGGAGTCAAGTGTTGGTCTGGACACCCTGAACCTTCTTCCTTCCTAATCCAACTTCCCCTACTACTGTAAGTCAAGGTAGGCGGTGACTCGGCAGGTGTAGTACATGTCCAAGTCATCTCAGTTCATTAATGTTCACGACCTTGTCAACCGATTTGCCTGTCTTTTCTAGTGCCCTTCACTAACCTGAACATTGCTCACATAACGATTTCACTACGCACAAGCAACGCTACGAAGATAATTATGGTCGAAAAACTGTAATTGTTTCATTTCTCCTACTTTTAATGAACTTATCTCACATTCATACAACATGACAGTATAGACTGCAGTGCAGTATACACGTCCTTTGATAGATTCCCGGATACCTGTCCGGGACGATGACGCCAATTGGCAAATGCTGAATAGGTCCTCTGGACTCTATAGTGTAAGGAGTGGTAGTAGTAGTAGTAGTAGTAGTAGTAGTGTTTATCAGTTGAGTGATTCTATTGATGGGCGAAAACTCACTGTCATTAATAACTTATTGCCAAATAATCACTTCTAACGTTTTATGATCTCATGGAAGTCGCTTCTTCACAGTATAAAACCTGTACAAGTTGTCGCATGTTTCAATAGTAAATGGAGATAAATCACATCACAGTGTATATATATGATCATAATATGGGAATAAATGTTATCGTTATCGGTTATTAGTCTGTGAGTTAACGATGATTATGTGTTTACATGTGACTGAGTGAAAATGTGTGCGAAAAATACAGTCAAAGATGAGTTTTTAGACTGTTTAGTTAGTAGGAATGGAAGTAGAACTTATTCAGGAGGGCCTCAAAGCTCGTTACGAACAAAGGCATCAGACAAACGGTAGTAAGAGAAACAGGAAAAGTGTTACATTCTATACCTACTCTACGAATGTCGTCTACAAGATCCAAAAGTATAATCAGAAGGATCAAAGAGAAAAATCAAATGATGAGTCCTAGAGTGCCACAGAAGTTCTATCATTCCGCCAAGATACAACTGTAGAACTACAAATGATTTTAAGAAAACACCTAATAACAGACTTCTATAAGACAACCAATGCTGTCAGAAACGCCTTAGTGTACTTAAAAGATAAAAATTTTAATTACATCCACACAGAACTGCGTCTATTGTAATGCTGATTATATTGGGGAATCAGCCCGCAAGATCCTCAATCCTCCTAAAGAAATATACAAACTATACAAAACGACTGCCAAATAATTCTATAAAACGAGGGAGAAAGAAAACAAGGAAAGATGGATAGGCGATGTATCTAAATCCTAACACACTCAACAGAAAACAAGGTTTGACTTTCCAACCAACATGAATAGTATATCCGGAGTAGTACGTTGCACACGATAATCATAACAAAAATTACATATACATGAACAAACTGAATTCGTCATCCATAGTATTTTTCTCACTCAATCACATGTATACACACATTCACATCTTTACCTTCAAGTTACAGACTAATAATTGATAACGGCGACATTTATTCTCATATTATGATCATGTATCAACAACGTGATCTCATTTGCCTCCATTTACTAATAACTTGTACAAGTTCTATTCTATGAAGAATCGAATTCCACAAGGTCATGAAAGGTTAGAAATTAATTTTTCTATCTCATTGAGATTTTACAAATACATTTCACTTCGAATCTATTTATTGAATCCTCAACATATTCAGTTCCAGTAGGTCAAATTATAATCCTGAAGACCATAGGAATAACAGGTTACTGTTTTAATGTGTTCAGTTTACATATTGACTAAGGTAAGTTTCTACTGTAGCGAGATTTATTGCTGTCAATATCATCATTTTGAGCTAGTTACACATATATGAGTGAGTGAGTACATACGATAACTGTAAAACTGACAATCTGAGTAGTTCATACTTCAGGCTATTTGCTGAATCGATTCTATAGACAAGATGGTACAGGCTATGCATACAAGTCCACATAATATATAAGGCTTGATATATGTGGCTACCAATAAATATATTATCTTTAAAATTTCCAAGACGGAGCATCTTATTTTTTTTTGAGCTTAATTACGTATACAAAGAAGATTCTTTTCAATAACTTCTTTTCTAGGTTCTATAGTTATATGCAACAACAATATTGACATTTTAATTATCAGTCTGTTGATAATATTATGCAGTTGATAAAGTCAATTGAGAAACATCTTATATGTATGTTTATGATAGAATTAATTATGACTGGAATTCAATTCAGAATGATTGATTATCTAAACTGTTATACTATGTAGATGATAGTTTAATGAAACAATAAAAGGTAAAATTTGTGCAGAGTGCTAGAATGTAATTCCATTTTTATTGATTTCTTAGATTTATCACACAGTTAAGGAACAATATTGTTTACTGGATTACGCTTCGAACGCAATTTATTGTTCCCACATTCATATCACGATAACTACACAACTTTGTGATATCCTTTATGTTGTCCTTATTTCTTCGTCCACTTTCTGATATGAGTAGTAAGGTTTTCTATAAAACCACAACAGGTGCTGAGTCATTCCTGTTGCTGCATGTGTTAGGTGTTGATTCGATAAACAAAGATTCAGTCATCAATCTCTTCCTCCATCCTGCTTTGTTGTTTTTAAAATTTTTCACCCATCATATTGTATGGCTGTGTTTAGTTCCATCCATAGCTATGGCTGAACTCTTTTCCAAACTCCTTACATTACTAGGATCTACCAATTTCGACCTACCTAGGTTCTTGTCCTCGGAGAGCCTAACTAACTCTCGTCGACTACTTTGACCAATGTATTTTACCTCGCAGTCATTGCAAGAGATTTAATAAACCAAGTTATTCTGCTTAATTAGCTCAGTAGGATCTTTTAACCTAAAAGGTTTATTTCTAAGTGAGTTTGCTGGTTTAAATGCCACTGTAATCCCAGCTAGCCTTACTGAGAATCATTCGTTGCGTTTCTGAGGCTTTGAATTCTCTCTTCAAAGTATCGCCACTACTATTATTAACATCATTATTACTACTTTTATTAACATTATTGTTGACATTATTACCACTACTATCACTGCTATTACTATTACTATTACTAATACCTGTACTACTAATATTTTTCATACGATTCTTAAGGAACTTTCCAATTAATTTGGTAAGGTAATTGTTGATGAATTCTCTGACTGCTAGTCTGTGCTATATAACGGACTATAGAATTCTCGATTGGGATCCGCTTTGTTCTCGAAATCATTGATTGGCCATCTCTGTGGTACAGATCCATCTAAACATCACTTTCATCTTTAACATCTTACGAAATTCAGCACTGCTTCATTCCTCCTGGCACTACTCACAAATTCCTATCACTCTGATTACTCTATTCCTCATTCCTCCTGCGTCAGCCTTGTTTGATTCCCTGATAGGTGACGTGTCAACATGGACCGTCATACGGTAATGTTAAGTACCATATTGGTGCTGAGATAATGACTGCGTGACCATTCTTTCAGTCGTTGATTAAATTTTTAAGTTATTCACATTTTGCGTGTCACTTTATTAGTCACAAAAGGCCATAAACTAATTTAGCCTTATATCACTTTTTCACTAATATAGACGGGGAACTGATATAGTCTCATTTAAGTAGAAAGCATCAACCATTTTCAATCGCTCACTGACAGACAACTCTTAGCATTCTACAATTAACTAAATTTTTTCAAGGGATATACAAATATTGATAGAACATATAGTAGTGAAATAAATGGATGAATTTGACTTGCAAAAAGCTCAAATTTACTTGGACCTAGTAGCCCAAGTTTATCAGCATATCGATTCTTCTACAGATATTGGACAATAAAGGTGCATCTCAACGAAAGATCGTTTACTTAGGATGAATATTCAACAAAATCGTTATCATTTGACTATCTGAGAAAGCCGTAGTTTGGCAGACTAGTGTTTATACTGGGTAATGATTTAAGGTGAGGTGAAACTTTGGACGGCAGCCGGATTCAAACCAGCGACCACCGGGTTTCCGGTACTTTGCTCCATCAACTGAGCTGCGAGGTCTGACTGCTGGCCAGAT